ACTCCAGCACAATTCACACTGAAGTCAGTGGAAGTTGCAAGTGAGAATCGGAGGGCAGAATTTTTCTGTATCAATGAACTGAGCATCTGGCCTTTGTGCTGAGCCTCCGTGCTGCATGTCAGCTTGCCTCCCATTCAGCAGTTTCATATGATCCACGATGGCGCATAGGTGCATCTAACTTGGGACTGTGCTTAGTTGCACAAGACTGAAGTTTGGAGCAGTTCAGATTTCATCGCAGCTTGGAGTGCACACAGTTGAGTGGGAGGTGGGCACTGATGGTGCACCGCAGGTTTGTCACGAAGGTCCTCATTCTGTAACCACCTCATGTTTAGGATTTGCAATAAAAGTTGTTAAAAGTTCCACCCCAGAATCAGAATTTTGTGTAAGGGAGGGATTTGCCATGGAACCACATGCCAAGGGGACAAAAACCACTCCAATACCAATGCCAGAAGCCTGAGCTCTACCAGGAGCCGTACCTGTTTGAGTATGTGGGAACCACTGCCCTAGTCATACTTATGAAGAGCGATGTGATCTCCGCATGCTTTAATACTTCAATATTGAGTCACGTGCATGCTGTGTTCATGAAGGAGATCATGTAATAAGATAAAATGTTTCCAGGCCTTTGTTTTAATAGATCCACATTTCATCTGCTGGAAATGAGAATAAAGCCCGCTCTTTGTCCGATGACAATTCATTTTTTATCTGGAAAGAAATCCAGAGAGTTTTAGTACACAATGCACTGTAAACCCAGGAACATTTCTCTCAAGTGAAATTGACGCATGATTGCCTGAATATTGTGCTGCTGTAGTTGCCCTTGTTCAGACATGAATATCAGTATCTGCTGTGTAATTGTTTAATATTGTAGCAAGTGTTGCTATTAGCTTGAAAGTTCTCCATCAGATTTCAGCCTAAAATATTGGCAAATGAATCAAAATAAAGGACTTAAAAATAAAAGTGCAGGAGCATACTTCTGCTCATGGATTCAAAGGGTAGAATTTTGCCCTATATAAGGAGAATCTGGGAACGATTTAGGATTAGATTATTTAGCATAAATAAAATAGAGAAAGTATCTTGTGGACATATGCAGTTGAGATCTTTGCTGCAAATAAGCCATCTGCCATGCTGAATGGGGAGGAATAGTTTGACCTACATTCCAGAAGGGAGGTGTGGAAAAGCAAGGAATCTTATTTTGAGACAACCAGTGTAGAGATTCCTACCTCCGAATTTAGAATAAATCCTGAGATAAGCTTTCTGATTCCTTTGTATTGTAGCTCTGTCCCAATACACTTCCATTTCCTTGTGGTCACACTCTCACAGCATCGGTCTGGCTAATGCGTCCACCTGCTGGTATTTAGTTCAGTTAGTACAATTTTGAGAACTCTGAAGTTCCAGATCCAATATTTGACTCCTCCTGTGGCCTTGAGCAAGTTACTTCTCCATCTGCAAACCAGAGATAATATAGTAGAACCCTTTTGCCTGCATTAAGAGGAATTCCCAATTAACACTGTGTGCCATTTGAATTGTAAGGCAGTATCTAGATAGGCCTGAGGAGCTGAGATGGACATGGAGGCTATACATAGCCAACACGTAGTTTATGCCCAATTCCAACACATTTCCCTCCCTCCACTCTTCAGAATGAGCCTTCCTCTGGCCCTCCATGGATATTTGAAGAAGTCCCCAACCACACAATCTCTGCCACTTTCTGCCTTCTTCAGCACTCAGCACCTCTTAGGGTGACCAGATGTCCCGATTTTAGAGGGACAGTCCCGATATTTGGAGCTTTTTCTTATGTCGGTACATATTACCTCCCACCCCCGTCCTGATTTTTCACACTTGCTATCTGGTCGCCCTAGCACCTCTGCCAGAAAGTTCATGCTTTGCATGACAATTTCTCACAGTCTTGACTCAACCAAAACTAGTGAGTTTTGGAAAATGTAGATGGGCCCAAACCAAAGTGAACTTTGAGGACGTCTTGGCCTAAACTTCATTGCCTGGGCTCATCTTTGCTAGTAACCTCAGGCCAAAATGTGCAAACTCGAGTGCCTAAAACCCTGCAACTAAATCAACCTGTAGGCATCGAGAGGCCTGATTTTTAGAGGTGCTGAGCACCCACAGTTCATGGGACCTTCAAGGGCTCAGCATTATTTGAAATGAGGCCACTTATTAATGTGCCTAACTTTGGGCACTGAATTTGCATCTCATCTGCATCTCACTTACTAGAGCACTTGCTCTGCATACAGCTTTGAACCTTAGGCTGTTCGTCCAAAGTGAACCTCTTTAGCTTTTGCAATTCGCTCATGATTATTAATACGGTGAGAGAGAAGCTTACTTCCACTAAAGATCTGATGCACATAGAATGCTCTGAACATTTCAGCACCACTTTCCATCTGATCTTCTCATCCCCTGGTGGCTGTAACATCCTCCTTCTTGAATCTCGCCCCATCCTCTCTCCAATCTGTCTAAAACTCTGCTGCAAAAATCTTCTGCCTTGCCCAGCTCTGACCCTGCTCAGCCCCTGTTTCAAATAACTTCACTTTAATAGCCTCACCTTTTTACTTCCTGCATCATATTCAAACTCTTCGTTCCCTGCTTCAAATGCGTCTTACTTCTCCATGATTGTTCAGTCCCTGCTGCTCATCTAACTCACTCTGGCCCCCAAACCCACTTCTGTGCCTTCTTCCTTTCAGTCCCTACTCCCAGAATCCCCGTTGAGGGGTCTGCCAATGACACCCTCTTCTCCTTTAAGGCCTTTCACAAAAGCAGCTTCTCCTGAGAACTGTGCTTTTATATTTTAGTTAAACAGGCAAACAGAATCTCTGTGGTGTAACCTCAAGGTGCGTACAGGACTCATCCAAGCAATCTTACTATCTTCAATTTCATTTTCCCTGCCTTTTCAAACCCTCCCTGAGTTAGGTGTCTGAGCATGCTGCATTCTGGTGATCGTGGACTGGCAGGCCTCAAGGGAGATGCTACAGCCAGTGCAACATAGAGTAGCCCAGAGGGTGCTCTAATTTGCGACAGGGACCAAATTGTCCCCCAGCTGATCAAAGGATGTCCTTTCTGAACGCCTCTGCTGCAATCTGCAGCACTACTTTTAGCTTCTGCAAAGAAATAGAGGCATTCATCACCAGTGTGACTGTAACTACACACCACACACATTTCAGGAAGCAATGGGAATAGTCCATACTGATAGGGAAAAAAATTATGTAGCCATTAATCTCTGCTCTGAAGTTATAAGGTGTGGCCAGGGTTTGTGGGGAGTTTTATATAATGCATTTCATTGTTGTTTTACATGTAAAAATACAAGGTACTGACAAGGCATTTGTGTGATCTCACTGGGCTACAGATATGGTGTTCACATGGACAATACTGTTAAAAAAACCCAACAATCCTTCTAAAACTCATCACCATACAAAGATTTATCTTAAATAATATCAATACACCTCTACCCCGATATAACGCTGACCTCGGGAGCCAAAAAATCTTACCGTGTTATATCGAACTTGCTTTGATCCGCCGGAGTGCACAGCCCCCGGAGCGCTGCTTTACCGCGTTATATCCGAATTCGTGTTATATTGGGTTGCGTTATATCAGGGTAGAGGTGTATCTCTAGGACATAACTCATTGTGATAGGCGCCTTAGCAATTCCATCAGTCGATTAGCTTTAGATAAGACAGATCGTTGAGGGCCACAATAATTTGGATAAAATGAAGTATTTTGCAATTGCCCTTAGCTATAATGTCCAAATCAAGGTGGAACCATGTGTGCTGATTGTATGACCTGATTGCAGCCTGATTGAATGACCTGGGATAGCAGGGGACTGGACTTGGTGACCCAGGAGGCCCTTTCCAGTCCTATATTCTACATTCCTATAGTCTTAATGGCCACACCTCCTAGTAAAGATGAGAGTAGTCCAGTTACTCATGGATCTGCATTTGTCCCACAAGCCACACCTTGACCACCCTACTTTAATCATTGCAGGAGAATCCCTGAGGAGTGCCAAATACACTTCCAGGTTAGGATCTGACACCTATTCAATATTTCACCGAGCATGACATATGGCAAATCACTTCGTGCTGCCATAAGACGTTTTAGTAATCTCCTTGGTTATCAATATAGTCATTCAGCCAGCAGAAAGATCACAGGTGCCAGTCCAGAGGTTAGCATGGAGGGGGCGGTGTGGGTCTAACTGCAGAGGGTCCCCTAAAGAACACACATTCTCATGGCATTAATATTCTAATAGGGTAACCAAATGAGCATTGGCCTGCTAAACCCAGGGTTGTGAGTTCAATGCTTGAGGGGGCCATTTAGGGATCTGCGGCAAAAATCTGTCTGGGGATTGGTGCTGCTTTGAGCAGGGGGTTGGACTAGATGACCTCCTGAGGTCCCTTCCAACCCTGATATTCTATGATTTCCCCTACCATGAATATTGACTGGAATTAAATGATTGAGAACTGGGTGTCCTGCAGTGCCATGTACGGAGCAATTGCTTAGGAATGTCTTTGTGTTCTGGGCTGTTTTGAAAATAATTTATTCTTAGTCCAGCACACATTCAGACTTCTCTCGTTCATCATCACTATGCACGGGCAGCTCATTGAATAGCCTAACAGGCACCCAGCACTTAAAGAGGGCATTGAGCTGAAAAGACCAATTCTCCCTATCAGATAATGATATTGGCTAAATATTGGTGTTTATCTTCTTAATAATAAAGCTGGCACTTAAGCCAGGTTAATGGAGCAGAAGCAGTGTGACAGACTAGGTAGAGAGGATGGTAACATTGGCTGCATTGATATAGTACCCCGCCCCCAACAGTGAATTATCAACTGAGTTTAGTTGTTGGTTACAAAGACACTGATGTATTACCATAGCTCCAGCAGTGTCCGTCTTGTATGTGAAACATTTATTTGGGATCTAATATATGAACAGCATCATGAAAACAAGTTAAAGTGTACTGGTCTGCATTAACGGAGGAAAATTGATCACTTTTGCTTATTTTGTAGCCAAAAGCTGGGTCTCTTGGATCGGGTTCGTGGTACCAATACTAAAGGAAAGCTATTTACCCCTCTGAATGTAGATGCCATTGAAGAAAGTCCTTCTAAAGAGCCTAAGAATGTTGGCTTGAATAATAAGGAGCGTTTTCGCACTGCATTCCGAATGAAAGCGTACGCCTTTTGGCAAAGCTCAGAAGGTAGCACGTCTATATTAATTCATTTTTAACCCTCCCAGATTCCTTCACCCTGTTACCCTGGGTTTTGTTTTTAATCCATCTCCTTTTGAGACTTCATGACCTTCAAAATAGCAAATCAACACGATTAAAATAATCTGGGGCAGACACAGCTATGTCTTGCCTTTGCATGCACAATTTATGGAACACTGGGGAAAGTTTTGGAAAATAATGCTGGAATCCAAGCAAAGCAATGCTCCAAATAAAGTGCATGTATTCCTCAAAACCAACCATGTTCTGTATTGATATGTTTTCAGTGGAACCCACTTATAGTTAGCGTGGAAATATGGGAACTCAGGGGCAGTGATTACATGTATCTAGGAAAGTCTAGTGACACTCTAGGCTAGTATAATCTACGTTCTTTTTAAGATTCCCTCAGTGTTTTTGTTGCAGTAACTTAAACTCACTCTAAACTTTCTCACACAGACGTCTCTGAACTGGCCCATGTGTAACTTTGACACCCAGCTCCTTACACATCATCTGTGCATTTGACCCATTGAGTCTTATCTCCTGCCTGAGAGAGAACTGTAGCAAGAAAAGCAACTCACAGAAGGTGTAAGACTGTGTGAATTAAAGTCGGCCTGACCCTACTGTGCTTTACTTTACACCTTCTTTCAGCTGCTTAGGATGCTAGTAACAGCATCTCAGACTCTCGTACATGGTTAGAGTAGGGTGTAGTAGGTCCAAGGCAGCATAATTGCCTTTGAAGCATTCTCAGTGTAACAGAGTCCAGATTAGTGCCTGGGCGTCTCCCATGTTGCTGCTGAATTTGGCCTTCAGTTTATAGTGATGTAAAATGCAAATCCCAAATGGTCTCAGTTTATCAAATGCAATTTGCAAATTATAATTTCAGTTACAAGGAACCTCTGATTTTAGGACCACGGTCTCAGCCCAGAGCTGTGCCAGATGCCAGGCATGCACACGTGGGAAAGGAGGAAGGAATCATCACAGCACCTCAAGGCAGCAGAGCAGAAATAATGCTCCTCTGCCCTAATGTGTACCCCCTGAAGGAGGGAGCTCCACACAGCAGAACCTTTCATCTTGTCCCAGGCCACAAGGGAGCTTGGTGGGGATCTGCACCAAGCAGGGGACTTACCTCACTTATATGTCCCCCCTAAATCCTGTCCCACTTTGTGCAGGGGAACCACAGCAGTTACACTGCCCAGAGAGCCTCTGTAGCTACAGGAGCATGTGGGAAGGAGAGATTTGTACGTTACTGAATAGAATCAAGCCCAAAAGATCTCTATCTTCATTTCCCACTAAATAGACTATTGCAGCAATAACTTATTCTTAAAAACTCCTCAAAAATGGGAGGTCCTAAATCCAATTGACAAGAAGGAAAGCTCTAGATGGTTCATGAAATGGCTAGAATTTTGGGAGACTTTCTGAAACCATAAAATGTCTTTGCATTCTCCTGGCCTGCCATAGAAGAACACAGGGGGCATCACCCTCTTCAGAGGATAAGTGCTGGCCAAAGTAACCAAAGGAACTTCTCATGGGTGATTATTGACTGAAATTAGTTTATATTATGTACTTGGTTTAATATTGTTTTGAACAATGCTGTAAATTGTGGTCTGATTTTTGCATGCATGTGTTTGACCTACTTTACAGATGCAGGAACAGGGGATCCCATGACTGAAGATAGGGGTTACAGTAATGAGTTCCTCATGGAAGATATGATCCCCACATTGAAGGCAGCCATCCGAGCTGTCAGGTAAATTTCCTTTATGCTCATCAGTACTGGCTTTGACCTTTAATGCTTGGCCTACAGGAAATCACTGCATCATGTCACCAGGTTGTTCATTGTTGTTGGGTCTTTAAATGGAGTAGGGAGTTAGATCATAGTAGGCACTTGGAAGGGAGATAACTAGAGCCAGTCAAAAATTTTCAGATGGAACATTTTTCTGTAGGAAAATGCTGATTTGACAATAATTAAAATGTTTTGTGAAAACTCATTGATTTCACACACACAAAAAAGCCAGGGGTTGAGCAGTGAGCACCCCCCAGCACATTGGAAAGTTGGCGCCTGTAGCTCCAGCCCCAGAGTCGGTGTCTATACAAGGAGCTGCATATTAACTTCTGAAGTGCTGCATGTGACTCCGGAGCCACAGGTTGGCCACCCCGGCTTAGAGACTGGGTAGTTCATTATTTTTCTCTTCTAAAGTAAAGCTAGTATAAACTAACGGAAGCGGCAAATGCTGTACAGATGATCTTTCTTTCACAAACTCTAATATTGGGCCTCTCAGAATATTAATGTATTTTGCCCTTATATATCTTTACATTTATGGACACAAGATCAGGGACTGGTTTAAAACTAACTAATATATGTTACTGCAGCATCATTTGAAAGATGTGTTTATTCGTTTATTTTACATGGATTTTTTTCATTTTACCACATTAGACGAGTAGCCTTAAGACTGAGTTGTCTGCATGATATTTACAAACAGGAATAAATTAGCATCTCTCTCCTGCTCTGTGCAACCCCAGTTGATTAATTCACTTTCTATGTGAGCTCAATGGGATATGAACCTAATGTTTTTTTATATATATCTTTACATAGTCTACACAGAAACTGAATGCTAACTGGAAGTAATTAATTCATTAAAAAGCTCTTAAAGAATGCTTTGGCTTATGATCAGTTAATATTTGAAATTGCAACACAGATCAGGTTCAAAATGGTTCAGCCTGCTATACAGTTTACAAATTATCTTTAAGAACATAAGAATGGCCATACTGAGTCAGACCAATGGGCCATCTAGCCCAGTATCCTGTCTTCTGACAGTGGCCAATGCCAGGTGCTTCACAGTGAATGAAGTGATCCATCGAGTGATCCATCCTCTGTCATCCACTCCCGGCTTTTGGCAATCAGAGCATGGAGTTGCACTCCTGATCATCTTGGCTAATAGTCATTGATGGACTTATCCTCCAGGAACTTATCTAGTTCTTTTTTGAACCCCATTACAGTTTTGGCTTTCACAACATCCCATGGCAATGAGTTCCACAGATTGACTGTGTGTTGTGTGAAGAAGTCTTTCCTTTTGTTTGTTTTAAACCTGCTGCTTATTAATTTCATCCGGTGACCCCTGGTTCTTGTGTTATGTGAAGGAGTAAATAAAACTTCCTTATTTACTTTCTCTACACCATCACAATTTTATAAACCCTTTATCATATCTCTTCTTGATCGTCTCTTTTCCAAGCTGTAAAGTTCCAGTCTTTTTAATCTCTCCTCCTGTATAGTAAATTGAACCAAAACTCCCAAAACCAACACTCCTATACTTTGTTGTACAAAATCCAGATCCAGCTCTGACTTTTATGGCCTGGGGCCTTGCCTAATCAGGATGATATTGGGAAGATCTACTGTGTCCATATGCATTTCTAGGAAAGTCTAGCCTGCTAATGATGAATAACAAAATATGAAGTCTGTTCTTAATAATGATTTAGTATTAGATATTCCTTGCATGTGACTTATTGTCTTGGGTTGATGTAATATCACATGTTCAATTCTTTATCATGCAAAGAATGTTGCCTGACTAGAGCCTCACCTATAATTGACCATTGTGCTGTTTACATAAGGGGCTAATAATGGTTCAATTTACTACGCAGAATACTACAGTTTCGTCTCTATAAAAAGAAATTCAAGGAGACTTTGAGGCCTTATGATGTAAAGGATGTGATAGAGCAATATTCAGCAGGGCACCTTGATATGCTTTCCAGAATAAAATACCTTCAGGCAAGGTAAGATCGCTGCAGGAATGTGATAAATGGAGGGGGTGTGTGTGTGATGGGGAAGTGCAGTTGTTCTGTGTATGTGCTAGACCAGTGGTTCTCAAACTTTTGTACTGGTGACCTCTTTCATATAGCAAGCCCCTGAGTGTGACCCCTTATAAATTAAAAACACCTTTTTAATATATTTAACACCATTATAAATGCTGGAGGCAAAGCGGGGTTTGGGGTGGAGGCTGACATCTTGTGACCTCCCATGTAATAACCTCGTGACCCCCTGAGGGGTCCTAACCCCCTGTGCTAGACAGCTCACACTCACTCGACATGCTGCTAATGACACAGGAACAAGGATGGTTCCTTCAAGCATCAGTCAGAGAATCTTTAAACTATCCAGGTGGCTTTAAACTATCCAGCACACAACAATAGCCAGTTTATCAACTCACCCCTTAAAAATAGTTTGGGAGTGTCTCCTCTAAGAAGGAAAGATAAACAAGTAGTTATGATAACCACATATGAAAGGAACATTGTTTAGTCGTTAAAGCAAGCAACTGGGAGTCATAAGCCCTGGAAATGACTCTCAGCTTTGCACCTGATTCTCTGTGTGACCCTGGGCAAGTCACCTATCTCATCTGTACAGACAACATATAAAAGTAAAGTAGTATTTGTATTATATGGCAGCCATTCCTTGACATTGCTGGGCCTGATTCTCTATTGACCTGCACCTTGTGTGATCATTTACACAATTGCAAAAAAAGTGAGTGCCACCAAATCAGAATGAAGCGATTTAGATTCACTTTGCACAGGTGTAAAATAAATGACCACAAAAGGTGCAAGGTAATGAAGAATAAGGCCTGGAGCTGTTAAAGATCTTCAGGTAAAAACAAACAGTTGAGCCATCCAAGAAGGTTTATTGTAGTGTTGTTTGATTTCTCTTGAGCTAGGCAAATTCAGTTCAACACTGTTGTTTGGTTGGACCTGGGTGAACTTACCTTTCACCTTTTAAAAACAAGCTACACTGTTCTTTTTCTTTCTACTTCATAGTTCGTTTTAATTTATTTTTCAATATAGTTTGTTCTATGTGTTCTGCATATTTAGTGTCTTCGGTTCCCACTTCACTTTTATTGACGTTCTATGACAGTGGCTATTCTCCTTAATTAAAATAACTTCTAATACATAGATTTTAAGGCCAGAAGAAACCACTGTGATCATATAGTCCAGGGATCAGCAACCTTTGGCATGGGGCCGGTCAGGAAAATCCACTGGTGGGCCAGGGCGGTTTGTTTACCTGCAGCGTCCGCAGGTTTGGCCGATTGCAGCTCCCACTGGCCATGGTTCGCCGTTCCAGGCCAATGGGGGCTGCGGGAAGCAGTGGCCAGCACATCCCTCAGCCCACACCGCTTCCCGCAGCTCCCATTGGCCTGGAACAGCGAACCGTGGCCAGTGGGAGCTGCGATCGGCTGAACCTACAGATGCTGCAGGTAAACAAACTGTCCCAGCCCGCCAGCGGATTTCCTTGATGGGCCGCGTGCCAAAGGTTGCCGATCCCTGATACAGTTTGACCTCCTACATAACACGGCATGGACTTTCACCAAGTAATCCTTGCATCGAGCCTGGAACTTGTGGTTGAACTAGAGCAAGGCACTTAGTTGACTAAGTCCCATTTTCAAAGGTAACTTAGGGTATGTCTACACTATGAGGGTAGTTCGATTTTACTTAAATCGAATATGTGGAATCGATATTG